TGTGTGAAAAAAAATAACTAACTGTCACAAACATCTTGGCATCTCGTCTCTGAACAGAGGAATGCATACAAGATTGAGGTAAGAAAATAAAATTGAAAAAAAAAATATGATGCCCTGGCATGAGAAGGTGAGGTTGTGAAAGCAGAGAAGGTGATGATGCAAAATGGGATCTTCAAGAAAAAAAAAAAAAAAAAAAAAAAAAAAACTGATATAGCACAGATTATATTATCCAATCAACTCAATACATTAATTGTATTTTTTGATAAAATACCCAATTACTAAAATATGTCATAGCTGGGGGAGTGGTGGCGCAGTGGTTAGAAAACGCAAGCCTGTGATAGGAAAGTAGCCAGTTCGAGCTCCAGACCAACAACATCAAATATGTGAGTGGGAAAGATATACCCACACCTGCTTCCACCCTCATTTGCCTCACTCTGGGCCCTTGAGCAAGGCCCTTAACCCTTAACCCTAGGGGGGAGAGCTCCCCCCTAGATGACAGCTCTCTGCTCCACAGAGGGCTGTGGTAGCTCGGTGGTCTGTGGTTGTGTCAGGAAGGGCATCCACTGTAAAAACAATTGCCAAGTCTTTGTGCGAGTTAGTTTGCTGTAGCAACCCCTGAGGAAGGGAGCAGCCATAAAATCAATCAATGAATCAATCAATGAATCAATGAAATCAATCAATCAATATTCCATAGCTGCAGCCCTACTCTCTACTCTTAAGTAACTTTTTTGTACTTCACTTTGATTTCTTCTGTTTTAAATGTGCATTGTAAACACAATTGAAGATGCATTAGTAAAAGGATTTAGAGAACCTTTAGCGTCACATCAAATGGCTGCAGAGATCCATCAGCTCCATCTTTGTTCTGGCAGTATTGTAAACGACACATTCAGATGGACACACTTTTTTTTGTGTATGTCTTGCCTGGTAAAGCCACATGAGTGTGCACTGTGCACAGATCACTACTTCTTTTATTAACAAACAGTGACCATCGTTTCTCACATAGAGGCTTTGAAATGGACCGAAGCATCAGCCCAGCAGTAAAGAGGCACAATGGGTGCATTTTACCATCTGCGCAGTACTGAGCAACTCTGTTCTGTGATTTAGGATGATACCAGAAATTCCATCAAATTAATAAAAGTACTTTCTAGCAAAGTCAACATGCCTGTTTATGTGCATGTGTGGGTTTGAATGAGTGTGTAATCTGGACGTAGCCTGGAAGAAGGAACAATGGCATTCCTGTGCTCTGAGGTCCAGGTGGCTGTGGAAACCGAATCCTAAACCGAGCCTTGCTGGCACACAGAGTGCCGAGAACGCCATGCTGTTGCCTCCCTCCAGAGACACGGGTCAGAATAGGACTATTGTTCAAGACCAGCTCGGACCAATAAATGGACCACAGCCACGCTCATTGACAAATATCATCTACATAGAAAAACAGATTTGGATTATCACCTTCAACTATTTCACTTTCAACATTGTTTACTGAAAAAAAAAAAATACAAATACACAAATATGTTTTGCAATTAGTTTATATAATTATGATTAGTCACAGCATATTATTTGTTACATCTTTTAGTCATTGTTTCTTTTCAGAAGAAGAGAAGAACTTCACCTTTTCACTTCTGACTTGGCGTCTGATTCCTCCAACTTCATACGAATTATTTTACCGATTGAATATACGTAGTTGTGCATAGAGACAGACTAAAGTGTACTTATCAGTGTTTGAAACAAATGACTCGTCATTGTTGGCAACAAACTAATATGCTAATTTTGTTCATTTATGCACGCTGCAGACATTTGGTAGTACATGATGTGTATTTAGTGATTACTTTTTTCATAGAAAATGATATATAAAATTGAAAGTCTCATGGGGGGGGGGGGGGGGGTGTGTCAGTATGAGGGAAGAACTGCCTTAGCTAATGCGCCTGTATTGCGTTTAGCGCTACGTCAGTGCCGACGGGGGAGGGGGGTGCTTCATCTTGTTTCATTTTACAAGTGCTGTCTAAGACACACAAGTAAAAATAGCCATTAATTATCTATCCATCTATTATCTTTACTTGCTTCTTCCTTTTTTAATTTGCATCTTCATTTTTGAGTTGCGGGGGTCACTGGTGACCGTATCCAACAGTCACTGTGCAAAAGGCGGGGGACACCCTGGACAGGTCTCCAGTCCATCACAGGGACACATAGAGACAAACGAGATAAAAAAAAAACATTCACACTCTCACTCACACCTAGAGACAATTTAGTTACCAATCAACCTAACACACGTGTTCTTGGTCTGTGGGAGGACACCAGAGTACCTGGAGAAAACCAACGCATACGCAGAGAAAACATGCAAACTCCACACAGAAAGGCTCCCGGACAAGATTTGATCCGGCAACCTTCTCACCGAGAGGCAACAGCTCTACCAACTGAGCCACCATGCTGCCGATACATACATTTTTAAAAATTAGAATCACCTGTGATACAGGTCAAATATAAACATACCTATTACATGAGCTAAAACCACGCTGACATGTATCTACAAACAAGAAGGTTTAATTCATGCTAATTGTAGCAAAAATGGAGGGTGAAAACTAATCTAGTTGGAAAATCCCAAATCTTTCGTCACACATCTGGACATAAAACCTGGGCAACACATCTGCTGTGGCCTGAACAGAGTCGGGGCAGGAAACACATCTAGCAACTCAGTGGCCTTGAAATGAGGAACATGATTCATTTCCTTTCAGAGCTCGACAGTCATAGTTTACCACAAGACTGAGCAGTTATACAGTGCCAAGGCAAGACTGCAAACAAGACATCCAAAGTTGGGACAAATGCGCATGACCTGAACCTTAAACCCATACATTTTCTTTTACACATCACAACAACAATGCCATAACCAGTTAGTTTTGTCTGTTGTCAAAATATCTAATGGAAAAACTAAATGTATTTTAAATAAACTTGCAGAAAGTAATCTTTGGATGTACATCTACAAATTATTTTAACTTTTGGAGTTGACCCAATTCCAGATGAGTTGACTTTAAAACGCATGAAAATTGCTATAACTTGGTCAGTTTTTCATACATTGAGCTGAAATTTTGTGCAGTAGAAGTTGAGGCTGATCCTCAACACATTATCTGTCACTAACAGATTGCACAAAACATTTGTTAAAATTTTCCCCAAGAAATATTTTAAGTCATTAAATGTACATTTACAACAAATTAACTGTTGGTGGTTATAGCCTGTTTGTCTGTTTGACCTTAACCACCACAAAAAGGCTATAAATCAGTAAATTTAGTTGCGATTGTGATCAAATCTGAAGTGGTAGTAGCCGCCAGTCATCCTCAATACAAACAGGTTTGACTAAAACAGTTATAACTCCAGCCCCTCTAATTTTTTTTCCATTCATTCAATCTTTATTTATACAGATTAGTCTCATTGAGCCTCGAAGACTCATTTAAAAGAGAGACCTGTTTTTAACAACAACAAAAAAAATTATGACGACAGTAGACAATCATAAAAGAAAGCATATAAATTAATAAATAAATGGAATAAAGTGATGTTAAAATACTAAACAAAAACATTGTAACATTGTAAAGCGATATAAAATACTAAAAACAGGAACATGTTCTCATGGTTTTGGCCATGAACTTAGCAGATGTTTGAAGCCACTTAGAAAGGTCATGGTCGAGAGCTTCAGAAATTTTTGCAAGATATTCAAGGATACAGATGCGGAGTAGGAGAAGGCCTTTTAACAACAACAACAACAACAACAACAACAACAACAACAACAACAACAACAACACAAAAATAAGAAGATTTTAAACTAAAACTAGCATGAAGGGTGGTGGGAAATTTGCAATCCTTTAAAGGATATTTTATGCAAAATTTAGCTGTTCCTCTTTAACAGTGGAATTTTTTTTAAGTTTCAGTTTATGCTCACAAGCATGCTATTGCTACTTTTTGAATAAAGATACAACAGCCCTTCTATTACACTTACAATCCTGAAAACACGGGATGTTTCTCCCTTAACGAAACAACACACGATAAAAAGATTTTACGTCAATCATATGATACATCTTTACCTTCTTCTTTGCAATTGTGACTGCTGTTGGATTGATAGTGTGAATCAATGCTCTTTATCTTTTAAGATAATTACAGCATTGTTAATGTATGCTCACTCGGGTACAATCAATCCTGACACACAGAGGCAGACTATGAAGTTATGAGATTCAAATATTCTGGATGTGGTTGAAATGTCTTGAGATTCAAAAGCTGCAATTCAACAATAACATGTTCACAGTCACTATTTTTCCTCTGTAAAGTCAAGAGGATTAATCTGACCTCCATCAAACACAAGAGCCACCAACCAGAGGTTAACCCCATGTTTTAAGCTCATCTTTCCTGATTGTGATGCAACACTGGAGGCTTAAACGTTCAGAAAGAATGAACATTTTTTTAAAAAGAGGAAACTACCACCAGAAAGAAACAAGCACATCCACACGATTGTAAGCATGTCGGTCAACTTTGAGCATGCACCGCGTTACGGTTTCTTTGAATGGGTCGACAGTCGAGGCAGGACGTCAGATCGCTGTCACTGTCATTTATATAAATCGTTAGAACAAGCTGCAGTTGAAATGCGGCACGAAGAAGAAGAAGTGCGTGAGACAATATTAACCTGGCGGCGGCCCATTCACCGTAAATCAGCAGTCAAGGTTGAGCGTTACACTAAAAGTGTTAAGAAGCACAGCCCTTGACAAAATGTAATATTCCATTGGACGTGTTCAACACGCCATTAGCCGGGTGGTGGAGGGATAATGCGTGACTTAAACGCATCACATCTCCGTTGCTTGGCTGCTTCTGTCAACAAGAACCTCTCTCTGCCGCTGCTGGGAACCGTTACTGCCTCGCTGCCCAGCGGCAAACCAGCGGTTGGATTCGTGGGGTGAACAGAACAGCAATAATAATAAATAAAAAAATGTTTGCTTCTCTTTCTTTAATAAATAATGTTCGCTTACCTGAAGAGACGGGACTCCTCGATATGCCAGGGTGGCGGAAAAGACCGCAGGCTAACGGGGAGGCAGAAAACTGACGCTGACACGGTTCAAAGTATCACCGCTAAGTTAGCGGGCTAGTTAGCTTAGCAAGCTAACGATGTGGGGAGAGTGTCTCCCTCCGAGCGGTCGAGATAAACGTCCACCCCCCCACTTCAAAAAGGACAGCAAGCCGAGATGGTTTCTGAGTTTTAACGCGACCACAAGAGCACCGCCCGACGTCAAAAGGCGTCACTAGAGTATACATCCATTTCAGGAGTGAGACTGGGGGTTCAGGCGCTGGTGTCGGAGCTGTCTCTCTGGGCGGACGTGCTGCCTCTGCCGCTGTCTGTCTGACTGAGTGAGAGGCTGCTGCTGCTGCTGTGCAGAGGAAACACAGACAGCATCTCTGCTCATCCCAACCCGGAAGGAATACCCCAACTCATCCCATCCTCCCATAGGCACAATTACACAGGCGCAGCTCACAGAAACACGCATTTTAAACAGATTAAATCAAATGTTGTATAACTTTCAGCTTTGATCGTAGCGTGGGCTGCTGCACGCGTGACTTTTAAAACGCAGCCCTGACCAGAATTATATTTCCAACCAGTCAGCTTTATTGGTATGGCGGTTTTTTTATACAACACAAAGTGTTTTACAGGATAATTTAAATGCCTTATATCATCTAATCTAAAGTTGAGAAGGAGTGGATTTATAGCTGATTTGGGGCCAACCTGAACTGCATGATCTCGTGCAAAATTGCTAGATCTCGCGAGATCTGTTGGTTCTCTGAGTTTGCGTTGAAGATGATTGTCAGCTACTACCACATCAAACCATATATGTAAATATGACTTGTGTTGCATATTGTCAAATAGTCCTCAAACCATCTTGAACTGGGTTGACTACAAAAGTTAATGAGGTGTTTGTTTCCAATTATTTCTCAGAGTAACTAAAAGTTTCAACTAAAATCTGTCAAGTGGATATTTTGCTAACAGACAGAAAGCGCTGACTCGGTTATTGTCCAAGTTTTAAGCAAAGATGATGGGCTCGGATTATTTGCTGTTAATGACTCGGCTATTAAAAAAAATTGGCTCAATAAGGCAGTAATATTTATTAAGCACATTGCATACACATGGTAACTCAGTGTGCTTCACATGAAAAACAACAAGAAAAGAAACAAGAATGATAAAAACAAACAAACAATAAATAAAAACACAAATAAAAAAAACAGATAAGCCTCAGAAAAAGAGACATTTTTAACCTGGATATAAAAATACTCACTTTTGGGGCTGGCTTCAGGTCTATTGGGAGTTTGTTCCATTTGTGTGGCCAAAATCCATAAAATGATTTGATATATTTTGCTAACAGACAAAACAAATGTTAACTAATTTAATATTCAGAAAGTTTTACATAAGAAATATAGCAGGTAAATCTGATAAGATGTAATGTAGAAAATAGGACAAAAATCCCATTTGGTGAACAAAATATTTTTAGTTATTGCATTATGGATATTGAGAGTCTCGTTTGTCTCTATGTGGCCCTGTGATGGACTTACAACCTGTCCATGGTGTCCCCCGCCTCTCACAAAGTGATAGCTGGACATGGACACCAGTGACCCTCGCGACCCGAAAAAGGAAGAAGCGGATAAAGATAATGGATGGATAGATGAACGGATGGATATTGACGCATCTAAAATTGTATAAAAAGGAAACCATGCAACCTCAAAACAACTACAACAAAAATGCAGCACGTTTTTCTTATTAGTCTTGTTATTAAATGGCATGAAACATCAATGCTGAAGTAATATTACTCCAAAACTGTACAATACTCCCACCTAGATGAGTCATTTCAGTTTATTTCAAAAGAAAAGATGAAAGAAATCACTTAAACAAAACATTATATATATATATATATATATATATATATATATATATATATATATATATATATATATATATATATATCTCAAGGTCAAGATTCTTTATTGTCATTCGCGTCACATGTGGTACACTAGGTGGAACGAAATTATGTACACAGGGTCCCAGCTACATCCAACAATAGCAACTGTAAAAGAAAACTGTAATAAAGATCTAAGATGTGAAGTAAGAAATACACTAAACTAAGAATACGTTAAGCACTAAAAGTGCAAAATTAATACGCTGAACAACAGCAGCACGAATATGAGTAGTACGGATGAATACAGCGGCATGAAATAAATTAGCAGCATGAGATCAGCAGCATGGATAATCAGCACATATCAAGAATCAAAGTGGCGATTACAGTGT